GGCCAGACGGGGAGACCGCGGGCCCTGGGTGCCTGCCGCGGGGCGTCTGCGACCGGGGCCACCCCGGCTGGGGCCAGGCCGAGCGCCCCAGTGTCGGGGCGGCAGCTCAGCCTCAGGGCCCCGGGGCTGAGACAGGGCATGTTCGCTTGAGCGTCGTTTGAATTCAAAGCGCCCGCCAGACCCTCAGCCCAGACGCCGAGGCGGGGGAAACAGCTGAGTCTGAGCGTGCGCGGAGGAGACGCCCCTTCCTCGCGAGGGGAGCCGGGCCCCGCCCCCAGCCCGGGCCCCGCCCCCAGCCCGGGTCCGACTCCGCCCCCCCGCCTGGGCTGCGCATGCCCCTTCCTTTTGCGCCCAGGTGGTCCCGTGACCGCCCCGCACCTGTTTGTCCTGGGCCCGGAGCCGGTCAAAACACCCCGCTTCCCGCGGCAGATGAGCCCGTCTGAGATTAGCGTCTATTTTTTTCCACCAAGAGCTAAGAATAACCACGTTGCTAATTTGAACACAAATAGTGAAACTCTGTCTCTCTCTCTCTCTGTCCCTCCCTCCACCCCTCATCTGTCTTTGGATATTTATTCTGTGATTTCACTTTGCAAAAACAAAGCCCTTCTGCTATGCAGACTTCCTACAATGGTTGTGGTCTCCAGAGTGTTCCTTATAAAACAATGCATCCTGCTTGTCGTTTTGCAAAGCTGCCTAGTCTGGAAGGAGGTGGCCAGTCCCCTCCGTGGATGTCTGTGCATCCTGTGATGTCTGTCTGTCTGTCCCGTACCCTGGAAGCCAGCATCAACACCCCCTCTCTCGCTTCCCCTCCCTGCGGCCACTGCGGCAACCAAAACTGTCTCCAGAGTTGCTGTGTCCCCTGTCCCTGGGGACAGGGCAGCCTTGGTTGAGGACCTGGAGCAGAGCAGAGGGAGGTCGAAGAACCGCGAGTCACCCCTGAGAGATGAAGGCGCGTGGACTCTGGGCTCCCATTAGACGGCGCAGCCTTGAGTTTCTAAGTCCGAAGAGCAGGAGATTCAGGAAGGCTTGAAAGCACATTTTTTGTTCTAAGGGTTAGGCCCAAGGCTGTGGCGGTGGATAAGCAGACAGGCTTACTGGGAGGGTGCTGCATGCCCTGCACCATTCTAGGCACCTGTAAGATCGTGGCAAAAAAAACCCAGACGGGCTTATGTTGCCAGTCGTGGCGGGGCGGGGGGCAGTGAATATATTAATTCACGAAAACAACAACAAGGTAACTTCAAAACTTACAGCTGAGATGCAGGCAACACAGCAGAGCACTTTAACTGGCGCGGGTGCAGGAGGCTGTTACAGCTGGGGAGACCTCGCTGTGGGGATGGTGCTTGATTTACTCTTTGAGAAGGTGACAGCCACCGGGACAAGCTAGGGGAAGAGCAGCCCAGAACAAGGAGGAGCAAGGCAAAGGCCCTGGGGCAGGGAGGAGCGCAGGCTGCAGTCCGATGTCCCCTGTTGCTGTCGTGGGAAGGGCAGGGGTGGGGTGGACGGCAGCAGGAGTGAGACCTAGGGCTTTATAGTTCACATTTATCCTTCCCAGCAGGGGAAACCGTATTAGTTCTCTAGGGCTGCTGTAACTACTTCCTATAAACTGGTGACTTAAAACAACAGCCTTTTGTTTTACTACGGTTCTGGAAGCCAGAAAACTGAAATCGATGCCACTGTCCAAAGTCGAGGTGTCACCATGGGCTCCTGCTGGAGGTGCAGGGGAATCCATTCCTCGCCTCTGGTGATAGCTGCAGGTTTGCCTTGGCCTCGCCTCTGCCTCCATGGCCACTTTGTCTCCTCTTGTCTCTGTGTCAGGGAGCCTCCGGCTGTCTCCCATGGATAAGCATGCATGTAATTGCACTTCAGGTTCTGTGGGACAATCTCCACGTCTCAAGAGTCTTACTATGATCGCAACTGCAAAGATCCTTTCTCTCATGTAAGAGAACATTTGCAGGTTCCGCGAGCCAGCATCGGTGCTCACAGGGGCGCAGGCAGCCCTTGAGGACGTCCCTTGAGACAGCAGCGGGTCCAGGACGTTGCCCTGCTGCACACGGTGCCTGGAAACGTGCCTGGACTCCCCTTGAGCCGCGTGAGCCTGCAGAAGGACAGGAGTGTGGAGCGGGGAGGCAGCTTGCTTATCTCCTGCCGCATATAAACAGACTCCTGTGATTTTATTCTCAGCATTGTGCATCAAGAATTCAGGCAGGACTTGGCAAGTATTCCATTGCTATAACTGAATACCACAGCCTGGGTCATTTATAAAGAAAAGAGGTTTAGCTAGCTCACAGTCCTGGAAGCTCAGAGCACGGTACTGGCATCAGCTCAGCATCTGGTGAGGATCTTCCCACTGGCACATAAAGGCTTTACATGGGAAGTCAGAGCAAGTATGCTGGAGGACTCACTTTTTTTTTTTTTTTTTCAGTACTAGAGATTGAACCCAGGTGGATGTGAGGACGATCTGGCTGCAACATCTGTCACCCCATTGATCGCCCGGGTTGATTCGGCTGATCTGGCTGGCTAGGCGGGTGGCCCCTTCCTCCCTCAGCGCTTCATGTGCGTCCCTCCCGAAGCTGCATGCTCAGTCGAAGAGGACAACCACCCCCGATAGAGGAGGACCGTTCCTCGGTCAAGGGTATACGAGTAGCTGCTCTCCTCTGCTAGAACCTCCAAACAAGCTCCCGAGACTGAACCCAGAGCCTTCACACTGAACCACGTCACCAATCCCTTTAAGTTTTCATTTGAGACAGGTTCTTACTGAGTTCCCCAGGCTGTCTTCAAACTTGTGATCCTCCTGCCTCAGCCTCCCATGTAGCTGGAACTACAAGTGTGCAGCCTCACTCCTAGCTTTTTTTTTTTTTTTTTTTTTTTAACGGTGAACAAATAATATCTGTTATCAGAGCTACTCAGTCTTTGTGTTTTGTTGTGGTGTCCTGCCACGTTTGGAACATTTGTCCCCTCCCAAACTCATGCTGAAAGGTAGTTGCCATCGTAGCGGTATTAAGAGGTGATCAGGCTGTGAGGGCTCTGCCCTCCTCCCTGGACTCTTGAAGGGTCACAGGACTGAGTGAACAGTCACAGAGGGGAGGAGGAGCTTGGCCCTTTCAGCCTCCTTTGCTTTTCCCTCCTGGGACGATGCAGCGTGAAGGTCCTCGTTGGACACAGCCCCTCGATCTTGGACTTCTGGGCTCCAGAACTGTGAGCCAGCGAACTCCTGTGCATTATAATTCACCCGGCCTGAGATACTGTCCTATGGTAGCACAGAATGGACTACGACGCAACCCTAACACACTAGAGCAGACTCGGGTACCAGGAAGAGGAGTGCTGCTCCAACGAACACCCAAAATATGCAAGTGGCTTTGGAACTGGATACTGGGTGTGGGCCAGAAGAGTTCTGAGTTGCATGTTAGAAAAAGCCTGAATTACTCACAGTAATTAATTTGTCAAGAAAAGATCATGGTGCCAACAGATTTAGTGTCTGGTAAGGCCTCACTCCCTGCTTCACAGATGGCACCTTCTTGCTTCATTCTCACACCATTGAAGTGATGAACGTACTTTCTCCAGCCACATTTATAAGGCACTAATTCCCTGCATGAAGGCACAGCCCACATGACCTGATTACCTTTTCAGAGCCTCACCTGCTAGTAGGTGAGGTTAGCTTTCTACATACGAACTTTGGGTGGATATAAATATTTTGATCACAACAATCACCTTAAAAATACACAGGTATTATCATGAGCTCAATAGTGGCAGAAATAAGAATCTTAAAGGTGCTTCTGGAAGTCCACAATTAGAAGACATTAACTTTTCCAATCCATGAACATGGGGTTTCCTTTATTTATATCTCATTTAATTTCTTTCTGGAATATTTTGTTGTTGTTGTATGTGTCATTCACCTCCTTAGTTAGTTACTAAAGATCTCATTCTTTTTGATGTCATTTTGAGCAGAATTGTTCTGTAATTGACTTTTCAAACTTCATTGTTAGCGTATAGAAATGCAACCACACAGGCATGGATGGTGCACACCTGCAACCCCAGCACTCAGGAGGCTCCCTGGGAGTTCGAGGCCAGCCTGGATAGCATAGCAAGTTCAAGCCCAGCCTGAACTACATAGTGAGACCCTCTCTCAAAAAAAATGTAACTGATGTTTGCATGTTCGCTTTGTATCCTGCTACACTGATGAATTCGTTTATTAGCTTGAAGAGTAGTTTTGTGGAATCATAGTTGTTTACATACGAAGCATCTCATCTGTGAGCACAGGTAACTGTACTTACTCTGTTCCAATTTGGATGCCTTTTATTCCTTTTTCATTCCCAGCAGCTCTGACTGGAACTTTCCATACTCTGCTCAGTAGAGGTGATGGAAGTGAACATCCTTGCTTTGTTCTTCATCTTGGAAGAAAGGCTTTCAGTATTTCACCAGTGAGCATAAAGACTTCTGAGGTTTCTCACACA